CAAGCTGTTCCAAGTAACGCTGCCTTTTGCAATTGACTGGTGGTGATTTTGTCAATTGCAAAAGGCAACATTTATTATTATTATTATTATTATTATTATTATTATTATTATTAATTTTATCCCACATTTTTTATATGTCACTCAAGGCAGTGAACATACCTAATACTCCTGCCTCCTGTTTTGCCCACAGCAACAACCCTGTGAGGAGGGTTGGGCTGAGAGAGAGTGACCCAGCCACCTTTCATGCCTAAGAGAGGCCTAGAATTCATAGTCTCCTGCTTTCTAGGCCAGCACCTTCACCACTATACCAAAGATTAACTAGTTAAAATTACTTTGATTGACTAAAGGGAATGCCTCCTCATTAATCAAGCAGCAGGTTGTTTTCAGTCAATTAGTGAAATCCAGCTGTGTCAATGTCTGCCAGTGAAATGAATTTCTTCTTTCTCTTCAGCCCTGATTGTCCCACTCAGAATTGATATGGCTCAAAAGGAGATGAGAGAATGAGAAAAGCTTCTTTTCCAGATAGAGATCAATTGGTTTTGGGATGTTGCTGAATATATTACTTTTAGTAAAAGTAATTATAAAAATGTGGACAGAAAATGCCATATTAAAAGAGGAATTCCCCTTTCTACATGTAGCGGAAGGTCTACATCTTCTTAAACTGCAGCCAATTTGTACATCAGTTAACCAAAACCTATGTTTTTTCTACCAGACTATGCATTTACTTGAGTTCACTAATTTATTAACTCACATTATGAAAGGATTTTTATTTAACCAGGTGGGCGTTCTATATAATTCATAAGACTACGCTAAAATGTATTCAGAGATTTTTTAACACACATTTATGTTCGATAGTTAATACAGAAGAACGGACTATGCATAAACAGACAGATACATACTGATGCTCCTTTAGGTCCTGGGATGCCATGTAGACCATCCTGTCCCGGCCTTCCTTCTTTACCAGGAATACCTGGTTGTCCAGGGAATCCTGGTTCTCCTTTTTCACCTTTTACAATGGTGTCATAGAAAACCTCTCCAGGTTCTCCTTTTGGTCCTGGGCTTCCAATCAAACCAGGTACACCAGAAGGTCCCTGAAATTACAGTTAGTTACAGCAGTGTTAATTGTGTTCTTTCAAGTTGTATAGTGAAGTGAAGTACTTGCCAAAATTGCTCATTTTCAAAATTTTGCATAGCAGTGATCCTTAGGACACCGAACTACCCTTTGATATGAACAGATAGTTCATTCAGGTAAAATGGAGGCTTCCAGGTGAGGATCATGGCAGACTAGTTGTCTCCAAAGAAGCAGAGATGGCACTGCAGCAGTGACTGGCAGCCAGATGGCAAATTCTGGCCAGCAGAGCCTCTCCAGACAAGGAGAGCCTGAGAGGCTGTCCACCTGCACTCTGGATGGCTGCTCCTTGTGAGGAGACTGGAGGAATAGAAGGTTCTTGCGGTCGACTCATGAGGACAGTGGCTGGGGGTCGAGGAAGAGTCAACATGCTCACACCTGCAGCGCAGCCTTATTAAGGGCATTAGGTTCACTCAAAGCCTCACTTTCTTAAACACTTTCAGATATAACCAATTTATAGTTAAAGAGAGATCTTTGGACCAGTGGGATAAAGAAACAACCACTCAGTGAGTTAGCCTCCCTTCAGGTTCAATTAAAGAAAAGAGGAAAATAATACTTTTAAGGATTTTGAACTAACAGCAAAAAGCTTAATAAGATTTTGACTTAAGAAAGTTATAAAAGGATAAAGGGGACAGTATAAATTTGAAAGATAAATGTTCTGACGAAAGTGCTTCTGTTTGAAATACCCACAGTGGAGGAATGGTTGGTGAAGATGGCAGAATTTGCTGAGATGCCAAAACTGACTTGTTTGATTAGGGAAAGGACAACAACCACTCTTATGGACTTTTTGCTGAAAAAAGATAAAAATGAACTTGTGGTTTATGGGTTTGACAATTAGAAAAGGTAGATTATGGAAAGAAGGAAATCATGATGTAATCTTAGAGAGAGAGGGTAAAATATAAATGCATTTATAACTGCTGGTAAGAAGATTGGAACCTGCTTCTTTATCATCTTTCCTTTCCTTTCCTTTCCTTTCCTTTCCTTTCCTTTCCTTTCCTTTCCTTTCCTTTCCTTTCCTTTCCTTTCCTTTCCTTTCCTTTCCTTTCCTTTCCTTTCCTTTCCTTTCCTTTCTTTTTTCTATTTCTTTTTTATTTATACACTATTTTTATTTATTTATTTTCTAAAATTTGTATTGTTTTTATCTTGTTAAAAATTTCTTTAATAAAAATTATATTTAAAAAAACATATTTAGGTAAAATGAATCCAAGAATCAACCGAAATTCTCAGGACAGACTCATAAAATCACTCTTCCTGAAACTGTTTCAACAGTGCCTCCTTCATCAGACACACACAGAAAGCTCTCATTCCAAAGAAAATAAACTTCCCAAGTTTGGGTGCATTTTTAAACAATTCCACATGCGATGATAGTGGGGAATTTCTATCCTTTCAGGCACATTTCTTCATTTATGAACCAGTTAACTGGTGAAATTTCCCATTTCTTGATCCAAAAAATGGGCAGACTCTGATTTAGAAATCTAGTACACCAGCTAGGCAGAGTAGGTAGTTTGCTTCCTGGAGGCAATGGCATGGTTTAAATCAGTATTTCTCAACCTTGTCAACTTTAAGATGAGTGGACTTCAACTCCCAGAAGCCCCTAGTCCACTTAAGCAGAAGCCTCAATCAAGAAGAATAAAGGACATGTTACATATCTTCTACTATTCTTATGTTAGCATGAACATCTTAAGGGGACAACTGGTAGCCCCTTTGGCCCCCGGCTATAATAGGTTCACTCCATGGAGCCACCCATAGCACAAGCCCCTGTCCTCAATGTGATCTGGTGAATTGACTGGCAGGAGGAACTACTGCTGCCTCCCTCTTCACAGTGATGCTGCTCAATCAGACTGCTTCTCCTCTCCCAGGAGCCTGTATTCTTCAGCAGAAATATGGGGAGGGCCTGGAACTGCCTCCAGTGAGAAAGTAGCAGGCTGCAAGCTGGTTGATGGGAGAGGGGGAAGCCTCAGGGCTTTCCTTTTCCCTGCAGAAGCTGCTGAGGACTGCTAGTGCTCTTCCAGCAGCCCAGCTTAAAATAACATTCTCTCTAGTGGCCTTGCTCAAGAGCGCTGCAAGGTAGAGGAACTAATGGTACCCATGTGTGTATGTGAGTGTATACATGTGTGTGCCAAACCGAGGGGGGGGGGTATGCATGTGGAGCTCCTGATCTAGCAACCTGTGTGGTCCTGGGGGTTAAAAATGTTGGCCCCTGACATAATTGAAACATTACTCCTAACCATAAAGGTTGTGAGATGGGAAATCAAAATCTTCCCAAAGAATCAAATGCAACCCTTTTCCCATTTATCAAAACAAAATGCCATGCCCTTAAATGCAAATAGAAAGAGATTTAGCCTTGTATTTGAAATTCATTTCCTGGGATGATGAACACTAAAGCACTGATGACACACATTATCATTACAAAACCATTTTTCTGAAAAGTTGCCAAAAACAGCCATTTACTTACTTCCACTCCTGGAATGCCTTCAAATCCAGGAAGGCCTCTATCACCTTTAGCACCTGGTGGTCCTGGAATGCCTTTTTAAGGAATACAAAGAAATATATCTAACTTACATTTTCTCTTAATATATATAAATACATAGAGCTTCTTGCTGAGTCTCTCATGTAATGGCAAGTCTCTACTTCCGTTGTATTCTATAGAGCTAATCAAAAGATTCATGTGGAATGGTGAACAACCTGCTCAATAAAAACCAGGCATAACAATTTTTTTTTTAAGCCAATGGACACATCTGAAATTTTGGGAGCCTATTGTGGGCATGATCATAAAACATTTGCCATGCAGATGCTTGCCTAATCTCAAAACAGCTGCTGGTGTGGAAATGGCTAGGCATAAAAAACACTCATTTACTGTATTAGAAGTCAACTGTTGAAGATTACTCCCATGCAACATTTAGGCCACTTATTATAAATTAAAATGTTGCCATCTCTATCCATGATCATTATTGCCCTGTGTCTAATCTATTTTTCATGAAGTTTTTGGAATAACTGGTAGTGTCTATAATTTAAAATCACTGTCAGAAATCCTACTCATTGGTGGCCACCAAGATCAGTAGACTTGGTAGGCAGCTCTGCTGTGTGGAATTCCCTCCAAAGTGATATACATATAGCTAGCCGCATCTGTAGCTGCTTATAAGCAATTTTTTTCTTGGCATTTGATATTGGTAGGCATTCTCAGAATATTTTCCTGTATTTACAATTCTTTCTATTTAATATGTCATATTTTTATATTATTTTACTGTAAGCTGCCAAGAGAAGATTGTGATTTTGAAAGTCAACCTAAGTGATCATTTAAATAAAGGAATAAACAAGTTTATTCTTAGCAGAGAACTGCTCCTGTCCTCCGAAGATGCCAGTCACAGATGCTGGTGAAATGTTAGGAACTAAAACTTCCAGAACACGGCCACACAGCCCAGAAGACCCACATCATCCATAGAATAAACAAGTTTATTAAAGTAATGGAAATTTTGGAGTATTCCCAATAATTTTTAGAAAGAAGGAGTTTAATGGAGTGATAATAAAGAATATGTTCTTTTCCAACAGAGAATAAAAAGATGGAATTTCATGTAATTTTCTTCCACCACTTCTGAATTACAGAGGGGAATGTTCATCCTTTACAAAATGCTTAAACAAAACTAAAAGATCACACAATGGTATAGAAATTGCAGATGCTATTTGACATTTACGTAACCTATTTTCCAAACAACCATTTACAATGTTTTCACCCGTAGGCATAAAAAAGATGCAGGGTAAGAAAATGTAGACTTGCTACTCTCATTTTCTGCTCAGGAGAAAATAAAGATTACAGTTTCAGAAAAAGACAGAGCTAACTTCGCTTCTACTGCTCCAGGGATCAGATCAAAACAGCAGAACCTTTCAACAAAATTCATTAAAATACAATGCCAAGATTAACTCATTTTAGAATGTTAAGAATGAAACTTGAAGAGCACAGAATGGAAGGGAAGAAGAAACATCCCAGGTGATTCTTATTTCTCCTCTGTATCATCATCTAGCAATACAAAGCAATATTTTCCACTAGTTATTTTGCTGTAATTTGAAATATCTCTCTCTCCGTTTGTATAGGAAGCAACATGATGAATGGAATAACAGAAAAACAGAACCAATCCTAGGGAACAGCTGTATTTGCAATCTAATTAAGGGATTTTTCCCCTTGTACTTTACCTGGTTCCCCCTGAAGCCCTTGGGGCCCTGGTAGTCCAGGAAAACCTGCCCCATCACACTCAAAACAGCCTTCACCTCTTTCACCTGTGGGAAAGGGTAAAGATATTTCAAGGTTCTTTACATTCAGCATGAAATAATCCCAATCTCACGTCTTGGGAATGGAAACATTTATGACATTCCATTTGACACATATTATTTAATCAAACTTTGAAAGTGACATGTTAAAAAAAAACTATACGTAAACCCCAAAGGACTGCTGCAGCCCCTAAAAGCCTTGGGTATAGGGATACAGTTAGCAAAGGTATTACTATCATGCAACCCAAAAGGATAAAAAAATAAAATACGTGATTGGGCAATAATCATATTAAATATATTTAAATATTAATGGCCTTTCAATGGGAATTAAATGAAATCAATTTAATGATTTCCAATCACACATTTTGGGAGATTGTATCCTGGCTTATCAAACAAAAGTCAAATATAATCATTGGCCCTAAAAAAACTGCACACTACAGTTCTATGAGGAACAGTTTATAGTAAATCCACCTAGACAAATAATACAAGTAGTCCTCGACTTACGACAACAATTGGGACTGGAATTTCCATTGCTAAGTGATGCAGTCGTAAAGCATGAGTGCATCATTTAGTGACAGCAACCCTTGCATTCCCGGTTGCTGTCGTTAACCGAATCCCATGGTCAGGTAGGCAACTTCCTGCCAGTTTCCCACAACCAAAGTCAATGGCTGCTGTGAAAGGGAGTGAGGGGGTGTACAGGGATGCATGGGGGTATGCAGGACGGACTGTGCAAGTCATGGAGGGTGCATGGGGGTGTGCAGGAGTGCATGAGAGGCACTGTGTGGGGCAGGGAGGGTGCGTGGGGCTGCACGAGAGATGCTGCGTGGGTCAGGGAGGGTGTGTGGGGGTTTGCAGTAGTGCATGAGAGGCATCATGCGAGTTGGGGAGGGTGCACCGAGATGCGCGAGAGGCGCCATGCAGATCACTGAGGGTGCATGAGATATCCCGTGCAGGTTGGGAAGGTTGCGCAGAGGTCTGTGAGTGGCTGGCACAGCATGAGCACAGAGGGGCTGGGGTGGGGGACACTTACCCCAGCAACATGTGACCTTCCCTGCCAGCTTCCCCACTGACTTTCTGGGGAAGCTGGCAGGGAAGGTTACGAATGGCAAGCATATGATCTCTGTGTGCTTGGAAACCAATCGTGTGAACGGGTTGCCAAGTGCCCAGATTGCAGTCATGTGACTATGGGGGTGCTGGGACAGCCATAACTCCGAGGATCAGTTGTAACCACCATTCGTGCAGCACTATCGTAACTTCAGACGGTCACTGAATTAATGGTTGTAAGTCGAGGACTACCTGTACGCATTTTGGTGCTCACTGGGAAGCTCCCTGAATGTTTGTGAATGCAAAGAGAATGTGCTGGGTGGAACTAGGAAAGAGGATTGAGAAGAGCTGATTGTATAAGAGATGGTTTACATCCATATCTGACCTGTGTTTCCATTCTGGACTGGACAGCAGTGTAAGTGCCATGTCAGCCTAACATATATAAGCTTAGCCTCTCGTATAAGCTAGTCCTAACAGGTGCCCCAAAAGTCCAGATTGGACGGGATTCTGAAGTCTTCAATGCAAAGAAGAAGGTGGGATTCAGAATCAAGCTGGCTTTTCCCACAGACTGCCCAGGGAGCCTTGGCATTTGCTTTAATTATTCCTAAACCTGCATAAGCTGCACAGAGGGAGAAGTTTAGAAAGGCCACTAAAGCCTGTTCTTCCCAATTTTGCCTGTGTGAACCTACTGAGTGTGATTATTCTCCCAGTGTAACCATGTGAAAAGATGATGAGCCTACAAATATCAGTGTGATAACATTTTGGAATTTGCAGGGTTGGTTTTTTTTCCAGATGTCAAATAACACAATGGAATTTGGTCTGGTAGAAAAGGAGAGAGAAACCATCTGTTTGTAAAAAATTCCTCAAACTTTGCTGAACAATCCAATTTTATTAAACATTTCATTTTTATTTTTCTAATAAAAATATGCAGGGGCACACCAGAAAGAAACAGAAAAATATTTGGGGACATTTGCATATCATATCATCTGTGTCAAAAATTACCATCACTTACGCTATTGTTTGTTTTTCTCTAAGACCATTGCCTTGCTGTTTTGGGCTCTCTACCAAGTTCAGTGGCTACTTAAGGTTTTGTTTGCATTATTCTTTATGCAAAGGAAACAAGGGGGTGTTGTGTATTTTTTAAAAAAGAATATTGCACATGACTGAAAGAAGAAAATAATAAAAGTCATCTAAAGGTGCAGGCTAAGATTGTTGGGTCCAATGACTAAGAATGTTACACAAATCATTATGCAAATTATCCATGTGACTGTACAAATTTTGAAATCACAAATCAACATGCAAACATGTCTTTTTTTTGTACTTCCTGATGGGAAGAAGCCCTTGGTTGTTCTACCTCACTAGAAAACAATCTCTCCACAGAGCACAATGCCAGTGCCAAGAGCAAGGGGGATGTCAGTGTAAGCAAAGCCAGCAGCCATGTGAAACTATGACAGAGGCCCCTCACTGGTTTCATTCAGCTCACAAAACCTTGCTGGAAGGTGATTCAGAAGGCTGTGGAGGAATAGTAAGAGGGGGTAGAAACATTGGACGAATTTAGACTGGTTTAGAGGCAAAGAGCAGGAAGGAATGTTGAAGAGTCTTCTACCAATTTTCACACTTGGGTTTTCTTCATACAGACTTGCTTCTCTGATGATTTGTTCTGCCTATACAGTTCAGTTGAACAGGTATGGGGAAAGCATGCAGCATCTCTGCCAATTTTAAACTACTCTATTTCTCCTTGTTCTTTTTGGCCCATTGCTTCTTGATCAATCCAAAGATTGCACATGAGAATTACCCATGCTTCTTAATGTGATTCAGAGTTTTTCATGATTTATGTAATCAATGAACTACATGTAAATATTCTTTGGTATTTTGCCTTTTCAAGGATTCGTCTCATCCCTGACATCTGTTACGTGTTGCCCCTTCCTGAACTCTGCTTGCACATCAGACAGTTCTCACTCCAGGTACAGCTTTATTCTTCACTGAGTGATCTTGAGTAGAATCTTATCTGCATATGGAATCAGGGCAATTGTGCAGAGTCACTTTTTGTGAGATGGGTGGTATCTAAATTTGAAATATAAATAAATAAATAGCTTCCACCATCAGTTGACTCTCTTTTCTTCAGTATTGGTATGACCACTGATCTTTTCCAGTTAATTGCCTATGATGTTGTCTTTCAAAATTCCTGGGAAATCCTTGAAAATACAGTATTGTAACAGCTGCATTTGATTGCTGTAGTATTTCAATGGGAATGCCATCAATACCTTTGTCCTTTGATAAAGCTTTCAATGGTGCATCAACCTCTTCTTTCATCTCCTGATTGTAAGGTCCAGGTTAAAATGGCTGTTGATACACTTGAAAATTATGGCAATTACTCAGTATAGTCTTGACATCTTTTCTTGATTTTCTGAGCATTATTTAGGTTACTTGGACATCTTTTAGCCTTCCAATTTGAAGCTGGCATTTTCTGTCGTAGTTTTTAGAAAGCTGATATTGTTCTATCTCTAATATTTCTAATTCTGTTTTCTTGCATGCATTATTATAGTAGTTCTCTTTGTCTCATCTTGCAGCAGGTTGGAAATTTCAGTTCAGTTCTGCACCTGCCTCTCTTGCTCCTCTGGTTTTTGCTCCTCTATGTTTCTGAGCGAAGTTGGGAGTTACATTAATTCTGAAAGGTCATAGTTGTATATTTTATATTATATATTTTATACGGCACACTTTTATTGTGTGTGTTTGTGTGGGGGAGAAATCTCTAGGAGTAGCTCCAAGAGAAACTAGAACAAAGTCATGTGACATCTTTAGAAGAGCTTCTCATTGCACATTACATCTTCCAGTTTCCCAAAGTAGAATTTTATCAAGTTGCAGAAGCAGGAGGAGACTGAGAAAATGATTGGGAGTGAGTAGAATCAAAATGGGCTGTAATCACAATTCTGTTCATAAGAATTCAAGGATTTGTGGGTGGGGAGGGGCTTATACATTAATACTTTGAATGCATCAATGAATATTAAAAGAAATGTTCTCTTCTAGGTAAATAATAAAAATACATTCTGCACTCATACTTGCCTTTAGGTTTGTGATTCTCAAGTTCCTTTCTTTGCAGCAACTGATATTGTTTTTAAAGCTTTCCTAAGAAAATCACCTGTTCTCCTTATAAATGTGAAGCATATAAATCTATCTGTATTTGCATAGTTTGTGTGCAACATTCTGTAATGTTGCCTGCGTTGCATGTTAAGTAGTGGAGCATATCTAAGGTGAGGTTTATGTTCACATATACATTCATGATTCTTTTACCTGAACCTCATATTTTTTATTTTTAATGTCATTTTAATGTAATTAATGTAATTACATTTAATGTAATTCATGCTGAATTAATGACATCTCTTTTGGGGAACTCAAAACAGAAATTCAAAAACCAGTAACACTCTTACCTTTCTCTCCTCTTTCTCCTGCGTAGCCTGCCTGTCCAGGGGTGCCTTGAGGACCTTGGTCACCAGGTGGACCACGTTCACACCCCAGAATTCCATCTGCAATAGTAAGAAATCAAGCATATTAATTTTGAAGTTTAAACATCAGTACTAGTGTAGGCAGGAGTCTTGAAATGATATTACTAATAATGTCCATTTCTCTAAGGCTAGTTCACACAACATTCTTCCTCCATAATATTTAAGCAATCCCAACAATTTGCAGAATAATAACCATGCAAATAAATCTATATATCAGTAGATCCCAGTCTAATAACTGCAGTGGCTTAGAGAAAATGGTTCTGCATTGCAATATAGATCTTGCTACAATGTGATCATTGCATTTCATGTTTCTAAATGAAATCTGGGGCATTTAAGTGACTGGAAAGGGGACAGGTCTTTCTTCACATTAAAGGAAAGGAGAGTAAGAAGAAGCCTTATATAAATTAAATAAACTCTTATAAAACTTTAAATGTAGGTTTCTAACAAATACGATTGAGAATGCACACATTCTGAGAGGTTCTGTTTCTGCTTGATAGGTTTGTATGGGAAGCTAGGCTGGCTTGAAACTAGATCACTATATTTTGGAATCAGAAGAATGTTAACTGCCTTTTTTGAGATACTTTCCACAAAAATTTCTATTCAGTGAGTGTTCATTTACTCCTAATAAATAGGGCACATCCGTTCTTCATGATATCTCAATTTTTGTGTGTAAATACATTCAATTATGAAAATACAAAGCTCAGTATTTTGAATTACGAAGCCAAACATATTGATGCAATGACTCCCATTGAAGTTATGAAGACATACATTTTCCATGGAATTCACACCTCTAAACCTATTTTCCATCAAAATCTCTGCATTTTCACTGCCTCTTTTAATCTTAACCACTCCTTGCTCTTTTCAATTACACTGTTTGCAAGTCTCTTTCTCTTTATACAGATAATACAATATCTTTCTCTCAACCTCATTTTTGCGGCAATTATTTTCTTAAATTCATTTTTTTTATCCACATCCTCTTTCATTTTAACATTCTACCAAATATCCTTTATCCTACACATCTCTGCAACATTTCATTACATTTTTTTCCCCTTTGTTCTAAGCAGCTTCTAAATGCCCACTTCCCATTCACTCCTTTGAGAAAGTTATCTATCTTTTTCCATGCAGGACTAATACTTTCTCTTCCTGCAGTTCTTCTATTCTAAGATTTTTATTTCTTTTTTCTCCATGTATATTCTTCCACAAGTCCCATTCTGAATAAAAGTAAATAAGGGTTTATTCTACAATTAGAACCTCTCATCATTCTCTCCATCTTTCATCACAAGCAATCAAATTGATCATATTTTTTAATTAATTCCTTTTCCACATGTACCTATGAATATGCTTAAATGATCAAACAGCCACCATTTTCAACCATACTGGGTTTCTGAATGACCCAATCATTTTTTCCACACTCTCATCTGGGTTTTACCCATCCATTCACACTCATAGAATAATATTTTCCTCTGGATTGCTCTCATTCTAAGTATTGTACATTTTTTCTCAAATTCATATTTAATTCTTCCATTATCACCATTCACTGGAAGTAATATGAAACTATCACCAACCAATGGACTGCTATTTTTATACTCATCCAAAAAAACATAGATGAAAACAGTTCATATTTTCTGACGTGTAATTTAACTCCTTCATTCATACTTAAACCTAAACTTTCCTTTCCTTGCATGTTTCATCAACTCCACTCCAGAAAATCAGTGCGCCATCATTCAGACCTACTATATCCTCTCCCTTTCTCTTAGTTATACAGTTAAGACATACAACGCATATTCTTTTTAAAATTTAACTTCATTTCTTAATTCATGTCTTTTATTCCTTATGTCTTTAACATGCCATGTTGCAATCTTTTATATGACATGGTCATCATCTAATGGCCCTAAATATATTGACCTCTGCTGCCCTCCTTAGCTTTGGTCAGTCAAGGCTCAACCCATAGGCTGCCCTCACTGAAGCTAATCAATTTATTTTTTTTTGGGTTTGGCAACCAACAATCTTTTCTTGGTTCTTTTAACTCTACAAGATACTGAAACACAGTCCCCTTTCACAATCTTCTACTATGCCGATGTACCATAAGTACCTAAAGACCAGCTTAAGCAAAATGTACCCAAGGCTAGAAACAGTTTTCAAAAAAGACAGTTATATTATTATGGAGCCTGGCTATTCACATACACTTTTTATGCCCTCAGTGCATGGATAGAATGACAAAAATGCAGCTGTTGGTTGAATATAGTAAAGCAAGGAGCAATTGATTAAATGTATGGTCTTAATAAATTACTGTCAGAAGTAACCAATCACTCATTGTAAAGTCATTTAGCCTACCCGAAATCATTGTTTTGAAGCAAAAGTATACAATTATCTTCTCTGACAAATTCGTTCAGCGCTTTCTGGTCACAATCTTGATATTTACATCTTATCTCAGGTCTTTTTAAATATTAAATAGTGTATTTTCCAAGGAAAATAGTGACTTGCCTGTTATGCCAGGGGGGCCTGGAGGCCCAGGTAAACCACGAGGTCCAGTAAATCCATCTCTCCCTTTTGGCCCAGGCAAAGAAATTCCAGGAGCTCCCTGGTCACCCTTTTCCCCTCTGTCACCAGGAAAACCAGGTGGTCCCCTGATCTCTGAAGCAGGTTGTCCTTGATTATAATAATGTAGTAAAATGAACTCATGAAAGCCATCTTAAGAAATGGTGTGCATCAATAATAGTAACAACATCAAATAAAAATATCAAAGGTAAGAACAATAACAAATAGCCATATATCTAGATATACCAAATATGTTCAAGCAATTACAAGTTGGCTTATATACCAGGATTGCTAGTTATAGAAATATCCAGCTGCATGATGCCTCCTCGAAATCTAAGCATATAGGAATGACTCCAAACCGGAAGCCATTTGTGTAGACCTATACAGCATATGGTTCCAGTAGTTGTCACGCCATCTCAATCCCCTAAAGAGATATAGAGATGTAGTAAACCAAATCTTGTCAACTGTGTATAATTTATTTATTGTTAATTCTATATCCAGGAGCCAAGGTGCCTTACACAGGGATATCTCTTCATTTAACTCCCTCAACAAACTTGTGAAGTAGTAGGCTGACAAACAATCATGTCTTAAACCAATATCTTAACTAGAACAACATACTGGTTACATCTAAAGGAGTTGCTATATCTAAAACGTTGCCTCTAAAGTTTTATCTCAAATGAGAACCATCAGTCTGCAAGAATCAGTTCTCAAATAGTTAGATGTGATAGGAATCTAACATTCTTCTGTAATGGGAGAGAGGAAAAAATACCCCTTCAATTTAATTTGGATGAGCACATTAACAAACAAAATGTAAAAAATCTCCAAAATAGCTGATCACACAGGTTGATTAAATTTAGAAAAGGATTTTGGGAAAAGAATAACAAACTAATTTGAAAAACACTATACTACATTCCTACCCTGCCATATCAGTGGAAGTCAAGGGCAGGGAAAGACCATAAAATGGGGAATTTAAGATTTAAATTCCTTTTCTGATTCTTAGATAAGCAGACATCTGCAAAGTGACCAGAACTGTTAAATAAGACACTACATAGATATTTAGATAATGGGATTGTTTTACTTATGTGAATCTATTTCAGTGATATATATTTATCATTTATAAAGTTGTTTGACACAAGAATATTTTATGATCTGAGAGAGATCATGTTATCTAAGTTGGGTGTGTTCATAAATATTTGTCAAACACAAGATAAAACAATTAAGTAAATATCATATTAGGATGGATATAAGAAAACTCATGCTGAAGCCACTTCAGCAATCCCAAATGTGAAGCAAAGTTGTCTCCAATTGCTGTGTAAATCAAACAGAACTTTTAAACAATCCCTTTATAAGTCTTATTATTCAAATGCATTAGTAATTTGACTGGGTGAATGCTGTGTCATGTTAAACTAAGTTCATTTTGGTTCTTTCTTTCAATGTGCTAAATTTTTCATAAAAGAGAAAAAAAATGTCATGCCTCAAAGAAAGATAACATAATTTGCATTTAAATACAATACAGAGTATTTACAGTATGAATCAGAAGGAGCATCTTTTCAGACTTATTAAAAGGGCTAAGGTTCTGTGAACTACAACTCACTTCATGGGATTCATGGGATGGTTAAACTGATATAGGATTGTGCCAGAAGAAAGGGGGAGGAAGAGGGAGACTGGATGGTTAGGCAGATGCAGACACAGATGCAGCTTCTGAAGGTGTTTGTAATCTGTTTCACATGTAACCTGTGTCTGCATAACCACCCTGCCTTCCCCTGCCTTCCCTCCCCCTGCCTCATCCCAGTTTAAATCCAGTAAGATGTCATGTAACCTCTTTATTCCTTTTCTTTTACTTTTGCAAGACTGAGCATCTATAATATCAATGTTATGTTAACTGAATTGCTAGGAAAAAAATCACAATCATCATAAAAAAGATGCAAAACCACCAACAAGATGATGTCAACAATGCCGGATGCTGGAAAGTTCAATGCAAAATAGGAAAATAATATTTAAGATAAATGAATGCTTTATAAATATAAAATAATTGTTCAAAAACTACAGTAAATTTCAGTGAAAACATATCATTTATAACTGCAGAAATACTGGAACTAAAGGTTTTGGCAAAGTTCTGGCAAAAAGGCAAGATTCTTTCTAAAACTAATCAACTAACTAACCAAATAACCAAATATACTTACCCGGAGGACCTGGTGGTCCTGGAAGACCTTGAAAACCTACAAAATAAATATAACCAAGGCTCAGAAAGTAAAGAGTTAAACTGTATTTGATATTTATTATACAGATAATCTGGATAAGACATACTATAGAAGATTGGCTTGATTTTTTTTCTAGAGGGTAGGTTACCTATTTTCTCTCCAATCATGGCAAAAAATAATTACCAAATATTTTATTATTGGAACTATTATTGGATTTATACCCCACCTTTCTATCCACTTGACAATCAAGGCAGCTTGCAACACAAGAGAATTAAAACAGCATGAGTAAAAGAAATTACTAATAATTTAAATCTCATTTAAATTTATTTCCTCAACCAATTAATAATATAATGAACAGTTACCAAGATTTACCTTTTGGACCTAGTTCACCTTTCCTTCCTGGAAATCCTTGATGTCCTGGATCTCCTTTTTCACCAAACACTAGTTCTTCTTCATCATCTGTAACCTGAACAATGCCAAGCATCAAGATGCAGAAAACCTGTAAACCTGAAGTCCTCCAAACAGGTCAGAGCTTACCATATTTCCTGAATTCCTGTCTTTCTTAGGAATTGCTTTAGCCCAAACTTCCTAAACCTGGTATCCTCAAGATGTGTTGGAATTGCAACTCCCAGAATTCCCAAGCCTTCCCACATCTGGAAGGAAGGCTGCTTTAATGAGTGCATACATCATAGTATCATCATCTTTATTATGGTCACAGACCAGAATCATCATAGTACCTTAGGTTTCCTTAGAGCAGGGAAGGCAACCTTTGGGAACCTTTGTGCTATCAGTACTATCTCAATTTATAACCAGGCCTGATTCCTGACGAAAAAGGAGCCAGATAATCCACTTCCTCCAGGGCCCTCTGGAGCTGTAAGTCTTCTCAACAACTTTCTCTAAAAAGAGAAAGCTGAAGACTGTATGAAAATGTTCCAGTTTTGTTGGTCTAGTGAAAGCCTCTTTAGGAGAAGTTGGATAACCAACTCTTTTCAGAGCAGGCAGCATCACCCACTCCTTCATAGAAGCATTAACCATCACACAGACTCACCACACGTCACCTCCTGGGAGGTCTTAATTAACCAGGTTCCATAAAATGGATCTAAACACAGGTGCCTGAACTCACAGCCCCAAGAATCCTGTTTACTTCATTGGGGCTGACAAGTTCAAACTCTTCCCAGATAATTGGGGAACTCCACAGACCTATATACTGTAGGTTCCAACTCCAAGCAAATCCAAGAGACTTTATCCAACAGATGCCTAGCATAATCCTCACAGCAACCTTGTAAGTGTTCCTCTGGTCCCTCCTTACCCAGAAGGGACTGGACCACCCTAAACAAGGCTGCTAGTTGGCTCTCTATGGATGTGATAAGGGCTCCAAAAGAACTGATTTGCTGCCCTTATCACCACAAGGTAATCCAAAGGTTTTTACTCATGCTTACTTGGGTTCATTCTTTGTTTTCCTCCAGCAGTACACTAGGCCTGTCTTATGCTGCTTCATCACCTAGAGTCCCTCTGAAAACTAGAGGAAATTCCAGAATCCACCGTGTATAAAGAGTCCGCATAGCTGTCCATCCTATCTGAGGCCATTGTCACCTTCTTGTTCAAGCAGTGATTAAGGCCTCAGCTGAACTGTGTACCAGTGTTCCAGGAACAACCTGCAACCCGAAGCTCCCTCTGAAACCTAGTTGGGTCCCTTAGTCACCTGTGGCAGACCAGCTGAATAGGTCCCGCCTCCCTGCAGTGCAGTGCAGCCACAGAGAACTCAAAGCCAACAAGGGGTGATCCATCCATGACAAGTGACTTATGGTAATATCCCCCAACTCCAGATCACATTGCCAGTGTTCCAAGATAACATTTCACTAACAAAGTCATCCTTCATGGGAGAAGGATCATTGGCAGTCATGGGACAGCAATACTTTGCATATAATCAATATCAGGTTCAGCCCAAATAATTCAGAATAGTTCTATATGACAGTCCAGAGAACTGCTGCTGGTCAGAGGAGACAATACTGCAATACCCAAACATATAGTCTAAACTGCATTGAACTATATATGTGTTTAAAGACATTCCATTTAAAACAAGGTTTTACACTTACAATTCCTGGAGGTCCAGGAGGTCCTGTTACACCCTTCTCTCCCTGCGAGGAGGGAAAAGAAGAAATTTACCTAGTAACTTTGGAACAGTATTTTTTAAAAATGGGTATAATCAATTGATTGCATTGGGGAGGGATGGAAGGGAGGACATAGCCAATGCAAAAATGTATATCAGTTCCCTCTAGTCACTTTGCATGCATGAAAGCCTTCAGCTCCAAATATGTACCATTTTTAAAACTTTAAAGTTTTAACAATACAACTTCTATCTCCAAAAATATTGTAAGCCCACATAATAACATACTAGCCTTTAAGTCTGTGGAAACCTTATTGCTGATAAGAACATTTATTTTTAAGGCTAATGGAACAGGAAACACTTTGCCCCTTTTGAACCAATGCTCCGGGCTGTCCCCAGCCAGCAGAGGGCATGCCTCAGCCTGACCTGTAGGTAGGCTACAAAAAGTCTTCTGATAATGATGCAGTGCTGGCATTGGAAGGGTTGGGATTTAAATATTTTGGCCTGTTTTTCACTTCTTTTAGAGGGAGTGTGGGAAGAGGAATATTTTGCCTCATGGAAGCTTCTGCCCTTAAAACTGCTTCTTTTAAGCCAAAATCACTGGCCTATGGAACACTGACCATTCCGGAGTTATACTTGCCCATCCATGCTGTAGTTGCCATGGTTTTTTGTATAACAAGTAGATCACAGTTGCCAGTGGCATTTTGATGAGGAATATGAAGTAACAGTTAATTCTGAGGCACATAGTTTAAGAAACCTTTTTGCCGTTTGCTAGCCAAAGATCTATTTAAAGTCTTGCTGGGTAAGCACCCTATGTGCATGTTGGACTAAATCATAAAAGAGGACAGTCCTATGATCCCCTAAGCATAACAGAGGGGAGCTCACCAAGCACTAGTTTAAATTACTACTTGGCTTGCAGAATAGCTATACCGTAATTATAAATAATAACATCATGTTAAGATGAGATGGATCCTTTTCTTCCTTCCTTTCTGAAAGATCACTACTCGAATCATCCTTGATTCAAGAGATGGGGGACCCGATAATAGATTTAGGAAGACATTCTTTCTTCCACACTCTCGGACATGCTATTACATTGCTTTATAGGACAAAAGGTCTACTGAACCATAAAATGGGTTGGGGAGAACCATGAATTTTTGGCTGCCATGATTTTTATTCTGAGCTGGAGAATTTTTTTTCCAGCTCTTAAAGGTTTGCCTATTATTTGAGATGAGCTCAGTGAGATGCAGATTTACCAATAAGTTTTTGATTTATTAGAAGCTGTAATTAAAATAGTATTTTAAGTATGCTTTTATCTATATATCTATATTCATTTATTAGATTTATTGTACTTATTATATGGTGGCTACTTACTTTAGGTCCATCTGGGCCAGAAAGTCCAGGAAATCCTGGCTGACCAGGTAGTCCCTGCAGATATCACAGTAAGAAAAGATTCATTTTGTACACAATCATTGTAAATGACTGCCCCCTTTCCCAAAACAAAGCTGAAAAACTGTCTTAAGTTATTTTTGCAAAAATGACATACAGAAAGTTTCTTAGGTATTTATCTTGAAATCAAGAATTACTAGCAGCAAATCTTCTACGAATATGGAAAATTAATACAATATTTATGATAAAGTGACCTACGTACATGTTCTCCCTTCTCTCCATCCTCTCCATCCTTTCCAGGTCTTCCCTGTAAAATGAATAATTTTACTCTATTTAGTCAGCATGGGAATTCTTGTTTCTACTACTTGGGTTTCTGAGAATAAGAATTAATGAGTTTCACATATCCCCCCACACAATATTCAGTGTTTTCAAGCTTTCTCAAAGAGTCTTGGAAAAGCTGGTGGAAAGAATCCTGTGGAATCATCAACTAATCCTGCTCTCCAACATCCTGGTGAACCTCCAGATGACCTCTTACCCATCCATGTAAGCATCCTTCTTTCACATATTCAGTCCATCCATAGATCTTGGAAATGTTGTTTGAAAAATAGTGTCTGAGCCACTTTGCTATTTTTGGAATACCCCCTGAAGCACACACACACACATGGTATATCTGACTAGAGATAGCCAGAAATGCTGTGGGCATTTCTATCTCTGATAGAACCTACTACAAGCACAGAGCACAGGACACTTGTCCACAGCCACATGTACACATACTCCCTCACTTCTGTTGGATTGTGTTACGGTCTCACTGCAGTTGAAAAGGCACACGCTCTATATTTGCACTTTCAAAACTTTCCAACTGATACCAACACTTGCTATTCTGAAACTCATTGCAGTTAGCAAGAGATGGTTTTTAAAGGAAAGCTCCAGGGTTTTTGAGAGGCCAGCTGCCTTTCTCTTACCAATTAAAACTTCCCCTCAGCCATTCCCCATCAGTAACAAATAAACAAACAACAGCAAAAACCTTCTGTTAACTAGCTTCCACTGATTTCAGTAAAGGGTATCTTAAAGCCTGGGAAGCACTTTTGCCATCCCAGAACATTGGAGGTGGAGTGGGGCCTGTCAGGCTGATGGGGAAATCCTGCAGGGTGCCTTCAGGCCCTGGCTTCAAAGCTCCTTTCATTCTCCTTAGGTTATCAGTCATGTTTATGGTATAACTGAAAGTTTTCACAAATTTTATACGGAAAAGATGAAACAGAGTGATCAAATCACCATTTGCCCACAACTGATTTAAAAAAAAACCCATTCAAGTATTTTTGGCCACAAGAGCAAAATTATTTATTTAATTTATTTAATATTTAATTAAAAGATACAGATGTGCAAAATCATCCAAAGGGATGTTTTGCAACAGGTAAGGGGGTGAACAAACCCCTCCCTTAGAACTCTAAAGCCAGCTGGATCTTTTGTAAAGTTCACGAAGCTGTCTGAAAACGGTCCCTGCAATGGGTGCACACTGAGGCCAGATGAAGTGCTGTGGATGCAGACAGACGCCGAGACAGACAGAAGGTGCTTCTGCATTGCTTTTGCACATTGCAAAGCACCTCTGCTAGAGGCTTTCCATCGTTTTATGACTAAATTAATCTGAATCTAAATGATACTTCACATTTGTTTATGCAGATTCCATCATTCTCTGAGGAAAGCAATGTTTTTTCTTTAAACCAGAACTTGCAACTTCACAAGTTCATACTACAGTAACTATCTTACATTGGACTAAATGCTGATGAAGCCCCTTTCAGGCACCCCAGTGAAATTCATGGCTATTTCATTTTGTCATCTTTAATTTATTCTCATATGGTTCCTTTCTGAATGAAAAATTCAATGAGAGCATAACAAAACAACTTCTGTTATGAAAACAAAAACACCCCCACTTCAAACTCAATTTGGAAATGTATGTTCAGCCCTTTTGGTCAGTATAGAACTAATTTAAAAATAGCAAAAGTAATAGGTAATTGCAAAGCCCTCAAAAGATAACACACAATTTCAGTAAGAAATCAGTTCCATTAATGGAACTGCCTAAAGTAAAATACCTAAATGGTTAGATAAGCAAAAATGTACATACCCGTGGACCAGGTTTCCCAGGTTCACCTTTTTCCCCTTTGATGCTCTGGCCTGGTGGCCCCTTTTAAAAAATGGCAGATATTTTACATTACTGAAGTTAGTTATAAATTAAAAGTACAGTATAAGTTCCATGGACAAAATCCAATATTTGCGCTACTCTGACCAAGGGGCCACAGAAAATGCAGAAGCAATGTATGATGACATACCACCAGATAAACGTGACACGCCACTGTGATTAATGCTCCAACCAAACAGGTTGTTAGTGCAAGGCACAATGCCCCTCCGTTTCCTACTTAATTACAAACTCTCCAGAGGGATGCATATTGCTATCATGGGGTATGAATAATGTATCAGTGAAACACTAAAAAACAAACAGTTTCTTTTCAAACTAGGCTCCTCTGTTAATGAGATCTGGCTGAGGAACTGGTGGCAGGGCCTGGCTGGCTCATTTTAGCCAGAGCTCCATACAGCACAGGAAATGTAACTTTTTTCTTTTAATACATTATGCGTATTCTTTTTAATCGGTACTTTTTCCAAAAGTATTTAAAAGAAGCATGGCCTCTTTTTAGAGACAACAGCACAAGAGAGAGGCCTGCTGGGGATGGATTATGTAATCAGAATTCTATCTGTCTCACCAGGGAACCAATCACTGGTTGGCTTGCTATGAATAGTTTGCCTAGTGCTGGGTTGCAGAACCAAAGTAGGGATCTTGTTGGTATACTCTCCACTGATCAATTTCTTCCCTGCTTCAGCTGCCAAAGGTAGTGTCTGGTATGGTCTTGGGAAATTCTAAGGCTGTCATGCCAAGATCATCCCCTCAGTCTGGCTCAAGACTTTATAGCTACCATGGAGTAGGCAGGTGTCACCCTCCAAGGTAGTCCAGACAGGAAAGCAAAACCATGAGTACTAATACTACCTTTATTGTAAGGTTACAATAACAGAATCTTGCAAGTCTGAAAACACTCCCCCCCCCTTTACATTTCAGAAAACTAGGGAGGGTCAATTCTGAGATGCTTCCTCTATCCTCATTCCTCCTTTGGACTCAGATTTCATTTATCAGACCACTGTCTAGGCTGCAGCTCTTCCTCCTGTTGTGCAATATTATTCTCACAGCCCATTACAAGTGGCTTAGAAGTGATCAAGTAATCAGTGGTGAGAATTTTACTGATGTGGCTAACCTTCTCTATGAAGCTGGAGGAGAGATTTAAGATGTTCAGAATTTAGAGATTCTGGTGATTCTGATGATGGTCTCATTATGGATCACTGACATAACAGTTGTTGATACTGTTGTTTCTGGGAATTCCCTCCAGTTATGGAGACCCTGGAATGCCCCTTGTTTTACTTTACTAAGGAACCCTTAGGAAGGAACAAACTGGCAGGCAACTAGACAATAAGTGGTGTGCAATCATGACTACTGCTTGACGGTAGTAAGAGTTTCACTCTTATTCTATCCTCAGTGAACCACCCAGCAAGACTTTCTTTGTGGTGGTTAATGCTTTTTTTTTTTTATGAGTCCTCTTACTCAATTATCTAAAGTGTATTTTCATTAATGGGTTACTGACAATTAGAAAGTTGCTGTTATTGTTATTAACTGTTAAGCTTCAGTTATTGATTAGAATTGATTGGAATTCAACCCAACTTTGGGCTCAACGTGAAAGCTGTTTTGTGATCTCATTGAAATCAAGCAAGTACTGATATCCTCGTTTGTTCTGGGATTAATTTTGGTATCTGCACTTAATGACAATAGACAGACAGATAGAAATGTTTAGATGAAGCTATTTTTAAAACTTCTGTAGATCATTAGAGGCTTTGGAAGATTTGTTTCAGGTTCCTAAGATGGAAACCTTATTTTACAATAAGAAGTTGAAGGAAGTTTATGAAATTGGCATTGGTTAGTTACACAAACTTTAGAATAATAAGCGTGAATGCCCTGTTTTATAAATCAATTGAAGATTGCTTTAAAGAATGTGAAATTAATTTCCTTTGATCTTAAAATTAGATTAATAGAACAAAAAATTCTATTCTATGGAAACAGGATACTTCAAAAAATGTTTAATAAGGGTTGCATGTTACTATTCAGAACTTGCAATATTATTTCATATAGTCTTGACTTGTCCTACTATTGCCACATTTGGGGCTGGAATTCAAACAGTTGTTAACATGACCTTAGCTGTTGTTAACATGACCTTAGCTTGATCACTGCTAGTTAAGAACACAAATATTTTGCTTGGCTAATGTCCCCAACACATGGAATCTATCAAGACATCAAGAACTGTGGCATTTTCCTGCATGGGGATGGGGAAAAACATTTTTATACAATATTGGAAGGGTGAATCTATACTTGCTTTGCAGCAGTGGATTGCTGAGATACTATATGGCAAGCCAATATTGGAATTGAAGTATTTTTGCTCATTTGTTTTTTTTTCTTTTTTCTTTTTCTTTTTTATGGAGAGGCAAATAAGAGATTTTTAAGCAATCTGGCTTTAGAATGTTTGTTCCTGAGATAAATTTCCAACCCTTGTTTTTCCTTTCCTTTTTTCCCTTGGATTTTTTTCTTTTTGTTTTTTAGGAGGCCTTAATTTTGGTTTCATACATTTTCCCTTATTTTGTTAATTAGTTTGATACAATAAAATAAGAAGCGGCAAACCTTTTTTGCCCCAAGATCATGAAAGATTTATACTTACTGGTAAGCCAGCTTCACCTTTTTCACCAGGAGCACCCTATTAGAATTTTAAAAATAAACAGCCAATTACCATAACACAATACCAGTGATGTCTCCAAAATGCATTTTCCAAATCTAGATAAGTAATACTTAATCTCTGCCTTTTTGCCTCTGAAATCTCAGCTGCGTGTCATATCTACTTATTATAAACGGTTGAATGTAACATAGATGCTAAAAGAATGAACAGTTTTTTCAACTCCTAAGGACAACATGTTGAATCTGTGGAACAACTTCAGGGCAAAACTGAATCTCAAGTCTCCTTTGGAGCTGGAGAAAAGGAAAGAAACGACCTTTTCTACTTTGCAATACAGTAACAGATTTAGAGACTTAATTGATATCAACTTTGTCAGTTTTAATCTGTCCTGTGGATTTTGTCACCTACAGCTCACAGTATTCCTTATAACTGGTCTTTTACATATTGCTTTCCTTACTTCACAAAGCCCATCTGACTTAAGAGATGGTGGCAGTGGATCAAACAAGTTGAAAATGAACAAGTGTTCCAGAGAGAATTTACAAATGAACACACAGAGAAAATGGATGGTGCTCACATTGTTTATTTAAACTTTTATTTTCTCATTGATCCTCATCATAAGTGGCAGCTTCTAAAAACAATGTTATTAAGAGAAATAAGATGTGCATAATTACTTTTTCTCCACGTATGACTCTGATCCCTTTGTGTTCCCGATGGGAATCCGTTCCTTCGGGACCAGGAGGGCCCATGACACCACGTTCACCCTACAGATATCCCCAGTAAACAAATTGGCAAACAAAGGCATTGCAGTTTATTTGGTTTAAAACAGAAAAACTGGGGAAATACATCATTAAAAACTTCCACTCATTTCAAACATTATATTGTTTTGCTTTTAAGTTAATCATCACTGAGCAAATTAGATATACTCATAACCTTTTAAGGTTAAATTCTTTGTCCAATCCCATCATTTCAGGAAGATAAAACTGTACACAGTAAAAGGCAATGTAATCTCCATCCATAAATAATGGAACTGTAATGATTTTCTAAAAGTTTTCTGAAATATCATATTTTCTGCAATAATTGACTCACAAGGGGCTTGTGGATCAACTGTCCCAGATCCCACAGATGGAGACAGATGTTTAGAAACTATAAGATGGATCAATACTTTTCTCTAAGGGCAATACAATTAATTAGTTAAAATGTAATTTCAAGAGTATTTTGGGTTCCCCAACACATTAGACTACTGACTTTAATGCATACAAAAGGAGAAAAAAATTACATTGACACAGGATGTAATGAAAGTTTGGTATTTTAAACATTGCAGAATCTTAAGGCATGCCTTTCATTCCTTCAAAATCCTTGAATCTCCCCAAAAGAGGTTAAAGACACCCAGTTTATTCTTTCAGCCTCCCAACCCTCCCTCATCGTCTTCCCCCACCCCCAGCTACAACATTTAAATCATGTCCACTCTGGTGACACTGAAACTTCACAGGTTAATTATGTGCTATGTGAAGGAATGCTTTCTTAGCTGTTTTAATCTTCTTCCTTAGATGGTTGCTGGACCTAGCATTTTGAAAGAATTTTTTCCCTATCCAGTTTCTCCATGCCAGCATGCACGTCATCACATCTCCCCTTCGCTGTTTTTTTTTCCCCCAAGCTAAAGTGTCCCAAACATTTTACCTTTTTGCTTGAGCTCCTTGATTATTTTGGTTGCTTTCTTCTGTGCTTTTTAAATTTATTTATTTTTATTTCCTGGCTAATTACAGACAGCTCGAAGTCACAGGCTCAATATTGATCACTTTATGCTCGTTTAAATTGAGCTGCATTTGCCATTGGCTGACAAGTCAGTCAGTTTAAAAATGTCTTTTTGGAGCTGTTCAGAGTCACTTTTGGTTTTTACCACCCAGTATTAACCCTTAAGATAGTTTATGAATAAGTTAAAAAGCACAGATCCTTCCACTTCTTACTTTAATAACTTACGCCCAGAGAGAGAATCCTGCCAATATTTACCCTTGCTTTGCTCTAGCTGGAGAGGCATTATTATAATTAAGTTTATACTACAATTAAAACTGGGGAGTAGGTTTAAACCCAGCATTTTAAGAAGAGCCAGAGCAGGAACCGGCTCTAAAACCTGCTTATACAACCAATAGCATAAGCGTGGCTCCCCAGCTTATTTAGTTTTATAGTGCAGCCTAATTCTAGTTGCAGTCCCCAGGTTTTGTCTGCCTTAGACTCTGCTTTTGCAAAGCTTAGCCTTGAAATTTACTTCAGCAAAATAAAAAGGCTAAAAAACAAAATCAAAACTAGAAGGCAGATCTAGGGAAGAGTTTATTAAAACAAGCTTGTACAGAGGAAACCTTACATTACCCCAAAAGGATTCAGCAGGCCCCATCCTTCCTGAGATAACGCTGTAATCACTCTCCTATTGACCACTCAGAGATAACCAAATCTCCAGTTCCATGCAGGCAACAAACAGTCAAATGCTGCTGAACCATCTCTGTTCTTTATGCGCGCACACACACACACTTTCATGCAGCCGCTAACATGCAGACTAATATTCAGTAGTAATGAATTCCATGACATAGGGTTCTTCTGAATTTGTGTAGGCCTCTTTCGGTAAATGAGGCTGAGATTCAAGGAGAGCTAAAATGGAGGACACGTTCTGCAATCATGGAGTCTGGAGAGAAGCCGCCATATTGCCCATGCCTATGACTTTCAAAAGAGCAGCCTTACCTTATCCCCTTTTGGACCTTGGAAACTCAAGCCCATATAACCCTGATGACACAAATAAGAGGCAGTTCTTAAAATAAAATTCACTTTTGAAGTATTTTTGCAAATATACTTTGGGGGCATTTTTAATGAATAAAACAGTTCTGTGGGTTTAGTCCAGAATCCTGTTTCCCGCTGTGGCCAGCAAATGTCTTTGGGAAAGCCATAAACAAGTGAAACCCAGCATAGCAATAGTTCTCTCCTACTTTTTTCTGATGTGTCTGATCCTGGAGGTAAGGTATAACCACCACGCCCAGTAAGTTCAATATCCTCCATTCTCTATGAATGTGCCTAACCCTCTTCTAAAGCCGTGTAGCTGCCATCGCCGTCATCCCTAAATCCCACTGCAAGCAAAGCCTGAACCTTTCATGCTCTGCTACTCTGTTAGACAGGCCAACATTCTTACAGCACTGCCTTGTCAAGTGCAAGCTGAGGCTCTAATAACTCTTACAAAAAATAATATGGCATTTTTAGCTGCAAATACTTTGTTTTAGGAATACTTGATGGTTGCATTTTTCATTTTCATTATTCAAATTAAATACTATAGGAGGAACAATATCAGACATGTATCCCTACTTTGAAAAGAAAAGTCTATTGTAATTGTTAATTTGCAGTACTACTAGGAACTGGTGCACCTCTACTAATTTGATGACTCCTAATACCTTCCCTTTGGCAGCTGATGGCATGTGAACTCCCACAGGACTAGACAATGCTTCAAAAGGGTGCTTTGCTTTGATCAAAACCCCACTTCAAAACTGCTTTGCCAAGCAAAGTGGAGAACAAAGTGAATGGCTATGTTGTTCCACTTCACATTGCTTTAACTGCCTCCTTCACCATGCCCCAAAATTAGTGAGTTACTGGCCATCTTGGAAGAGGCAGTCAGAGCAAGACAAAGCATTTTTCAAGCAATGTGATCACATTTCCTTGAGATGTTCTATCTTGGATTATACATTGCTATTCAGTTTCTTTTTCCTGCTTTTTAACATTTACATATCATAGATTATGTGTAGTACTATTCAGTTAATTTGGGTTGTTTTGTCCATTAATATCTGGAAAATATTGAAATGAGTACTTTTACTTTTATTATTTTTCCAAATAATTTCCACTGAATAAATATGCAGAAGAAACCAGCCTTACCTTCTCACCTGGAGGTCCAGGTGGCCCTGGAAAACCCTGCATAAGAAAATATTTTATTAATTTTATGAGTTACACTTCTTTCAAAATGGCAATTTCACTAATGAATGAGCTCTTTACAAGTGGGATTTTCATTTCATGCTGCTTCTTCCATCTGATCTGAGCAGAATGTGCCTGAATAGAATCGCTAGCTGTCATGAGTCAGCTGTGTATTGGTCATCACATCTGGCTGAATTGAAATTTATAGAAATTCTGTCAAATCTCTATTGGAAGCCAAGGTTCTGAGATAGTATAGGGTTGTTTCTAATATAAGAGGGTCACAATTGGGGCAAGGAACAAATCATAATTTAAAACATTTTCATGAAGAAGTATGGAAATGCTTTAAAACTTGGTTGATTTGTTTTAAAAGCCTATTTGCACCATTACTGTTACAGATTTCTTCTGTTCTTCAGCCTTTATCAAAACAGAAATTGATAGCCACTCATTTTTATACCTAGTGGTATGGATTCCACAATCAACTTCATACTATTATATTAGTAAAGGACAGAACATTAATTAGCCTAAAAGTTTTGGATGCATTCCAGTCCTTGAGACCCAAGGATGTTGATAACTCTTACTGAGTTCAACTGGCTACCTTAATATTCCAAACTGAATTTGTTACACTCAGTTCTAAAATAATAATTGGTTAGGTCTGAAAGATTTTTTTCCCAAGAGAAAATAGTACTTTTCATTGCAAAAGCTAGCCAGAAGTAGAGAAACTTTACAGGCTGGTTGCTAACATCTGCTGCTTGGGAAGATACTTGAATGAGGGATTTTTAGGTGAAAGTCTTCTGAATTCACTTCAATGCTATTTAAAGCCAAATTGGGGGTAGAAACTGCCATGATTTGTCCTTTCTCTTTTTGCTAAGAGGGTGATAGCAGGGTACAACTTAGATAGTTCTCTTGGATTTCTCAATGGTTTTAATACTCTACAGCATAATAACTTTAATGATTAGTTGTTAGCACTAGAGACACTGCTTTATAGTTGTTCTGTTTCTGCCTGGATGGCTATTTCCTGGGGTAGAGTTGCATAATAATTGCACCATAAAAGTCTTTAGAGATCTGCTTTTTTCTCCCAAACAGATTTTACATTGGTTGTTACACATTTTATGTGTTCTTCCATAACTGAACACAGGGGGTTGATAATGTTCTTCCAGTTTCTGTTTGTAAAATAAGTACTGTGGGCATTTTGCCAAACTGAAAAAAAAAAAACAGTTTCGTGTTTTTTGTTTGTTTTGTTCTTGAGAATACATATTTCGTCAGTGAATTCTAAGCAAATTCTGATCAAAGCTATGAAGTTTTAGTTCCAGGGAACATAGGATTGCAGTTTATATATATATTTTCCCCCTTATGCTTTATTTTTAATGTTTACTTCCCAAGAAAAAGACAAATGCCCAGCAACAGGAATCATGGTGAAATACAAGCTGCCTTGCCATCTTGCCATTTTTTCTATATATCCATGATTTATTTCAGGAACCAGTTGTTATTTGTTTTGTATACCTCTTTCATAAATTTGAATGAACTCCAGCCAGCCTAGTGCCAATCTGCAGTGACTCCCTGATGATGCCTCATCCACCATCTATTCCCATGAACCAGCTCTTGCTTGCAGGCAAATGGTATTTCTTGCAGATATTCCAATGCACCATTGTTGC